ACTTTCTAAAACATTGGTATTGTTTTAAAGAAGATCTTCCATGTTTGTCAACTTTCCATTGCTATGACCAAAATATGGACAAAATTAATTTAAATGAGAAAATATTTATTTGGGGCCACACACAGTCTTAGAGGTTTCAGTCCATGGTTGGCCAGCTCTATTACTTTGGGCCTGACTTAAAGCAGATCATCATGGCAGAAGGGCATGATGAAGGGCATGGCAGCCAGGAAACAGAGAGAGGGGGTGGGCAGAGAGAAAGGGACCAGAGACAAGAAATGCCCTTCCAGAACATGTTTCCTGTGACTCACTTCCTCCAAAAAAGGCACCACCTCCTAAAGTTTCTGCCACCTCTCAGCAATGTCATCAAATTATTAATTCAACAATGGATTGACCACTGATGAGGTCAGAGCCCTCATGATCCCTCAAATCCCTGCCTCTGAACATTGCTGCATTGGGGACCAGGTCTTTAATACATGAAACTTTAGGGGACATTCTAGATCCAAACTGTAATGCTATCCTAAATTACAGTAGTAAAATACATTTCAACAAAATCTTTCTATTACACTGAATTTAACTATATGTCCATAGATTTTGTCTTAAGTCACTCTCTAGTATTAGAATTAAAAAAAAAATCAGAGCAGTTCTTTAAATGGTTTTCCATGGAACTGTTTCCTGTTTCTAAATAACTATTTTTCTTTTTTTGGTACTATGGGATGAAACCAGGGCTGCTTAACCACTGAGCCACATCTCCAGCCCTTTTAAAAAATATTTTATTGAGAGACAGGTTCTCACTGAGTTGATTAGTGCCAGGTTTGAACTCATAATCCTCCTGCCTCACCCTCCCCACCCACTGGGATTACAGTGCGTGCCATCACTCCTGGCTCTAAATAACTATTTTTGAGTAATAGTTCTAAGTAACTCTTGGGGAGAATAAATGTGGAGGATCAATGTTGTATAATATATAGTAAAAAAAAACAACAATATAAATGTATAAACATGGTATAAAATGACAGAATTTTCTTCTGAATTCATATGTATTTAAAATATTTTTGTGCATATATATACACATAGGTAAATTTATATATCAGAAGGAAAAGCTTACATATTAATTCTGACAGGGTGAAAGAAAATGTAAGATATTTCATCTGAATGTGCCTAGACATAGAGACTATTTCGACAGTAGGTATTGTGAGCATGTACCCGAGAGATCTTCAGAAAACCTCTGAGCAACTGCAAAGAGTCTTGAATCATACACCCCCAATAATCACTTGATCCTTTGCCCGACGTCCCCCTCCCCCAAACACAAAAAAAGACATTTTAAATCCATGCAAGAGTGTGAGATGTAGGTGTAATCAAATAGAATATGGGCAAAGTACAAATTTGTAACATGAAGCTGATTTTGTGTTCATAGACTCATCAAGCTGCTGCTGTAAACGGTGCTTTGGTTTTTGGCCCAACTTTGACTGGTCGGGTAGGCCCAGATTCTGCCCAGGCTCTGCAACTCCTCAACCCTTCTAGAGAATTGTTTCACCTCTTCACAGCTCCTCCTCTTCTAATCAAGGGTCTGACACTGCCCATTGACCACATTTATTTTTCTGCCTTTTGGCACTGGGAGTTTGTCTGTTGCAGGATAAAAGTGGAATTCTCTGCTGTCTGCAGGGCTTTCCCCAGGGAACAGAGCATGAAACCCAAACTTATATAAAATCATATCCTGTTTGCAAACATCATATTCCCTTTGCTTCGCACTAATCTGGTCCTGTAAACCCCAGCACAGCTTGAGAGCCCATTCCTCATCTAAACAAATGCCATAAGCCCCTTTATACTTTTACAACCATGTCAAAAAATAATATTGCCTGCCAATAGTGATGTGATTGGAGTTGCCTCCTCCGAGCCATAAAAGAAGCGCAGAGTCTGTTATCAATTTCTCTAAATGTATCAGGGGAATTATGGGTCGATTCAGTTCCAAGTTATAAATGACAACTCAAAAGCCGCAGAAGCGTTTGAAGCTGGGAGCTGATGACGACATTATCATAAAAGCCTGCTCGTCCTTGCTTTTGTGGGTTTTTTTGTGGCCTATCAAGTGAAAAAGGGAGAATAAGGCTGAGAAATGACTTCAAGATTTCTTCACACAGCAGCAGGTCACATGGTCAGGAAAATGATCACTATTTTTAGTGATATACCCTGAGGAGTACGCACTAGCTTGGTCCTGAACTGGTTTTGTTTCCAAAGTTCCTTAGTTATCTATTCCCTTATACAATGACCAAGTCCTGGGTTTTGGTAAAATGCTCTTTTCAACTGGCATATATTCTTATAGATCAATCACATCATTAGAAATGAGTCATGCCATAGTAACTAAATAAAAATGAGATGCAAAAAGGAATTCGAAGATCTTGAGATTATTCATAAAATGCAATTCTGGATAGCATAATTTAAGGCACCTTAAATATCATTTTCCCACTGAGTTGTTTGACCAACACTCCAATACCACAAGCAATTGGGGGGAGGGAATTTAATAAGTAGAGGATTTTGATTTTATAATGTTCTAAGATATCTCCAAAACCAATGAACCCATCAGCATTCAGTAGCTATATGTTAAACCACTCTATAATGAAGTTATATATCCTAAATAATGTGACTTCACTTTAATAGTTGGAAATCACTGAGCATTTTGGAGTTAAACCAATGGGTCTATTTTTAGATTGTTTAAATGAGGAAAGTGTCTTAAACAAAAGGCAATTTCAGTAGTTTCCAAGCTTCCAGGTTACCCCCATGATGCTAAATCAGATCACTCCAAGTTCATACTTGGTAGTTTGCATAGTTAATGTGTCTAGGATTGTTCTTGAGGTGAAAATTTAGACTGGTTCAAATGCAAAGGACCCAGAGTTTCTCCTAGCACTTGTGTCAAAATCAAAGATCTGAGAAAACAAGATCTGAACTGATAAGATTATGACTTAGTTTCTGAAAACAAAAACACAAAAAGAATGAATCCAATTGGTTTGCTAGAGCATCAGCAAGTGGGAGTTTATATGCACACTTGTGTTCCCCCATCCTCCCAGTCATGCATAAATTCCCCAGAAGACATAGAGACTATTTCAATAAGCAAAATGCCCTTCTTTAGCCTTCTCCAGCCCTGAGACAGCCAATCTCATCCAGGCCTCCTGCCCCAGAAGTTACCATGTTACATGTTTAGAGCAGGTGAATAGAGGTACTTTGTGTTCAAGGGATGGTGAGTCAGTGGCACATCCCAGCTCAGATTTGGAGGATGAGTCCTAGGGAGTTGTCCTCAGTTCTACTCTGGGTCATGAATTCAATGTACTTGTAAAGGACTGGGGTTTGACACTCACCATTCTTTTAACGACTTTGATGTCCTCCCCATCACTGTTCCCATGAAGTCATCATTTACTTTGTTTAATTCTTTGCCTCATTTGCAGGTTAAAAAGCTCTTCTCTTAAAATAGCCACTTGGGGTGTGAGAAAATAAGCTCAAAAATCAATGAACTCCTTTGAAAAATCAGTTTATCCTTTGAATTTAAGAATGAGTTTGCAAGGTCCCACAGGAGATTTGCTAAAATGAGCAAGGATTAATGTGGAGTGGTGACAGTTCTGTGTCAAAGGTCAAAAAGCAAAAGTCACTGGTGAGCTGCCATAAGGAGCCATGCTACCTTAGCCACACCGAAATGCTGCTAGGCTGAAGGTGGGGTTGGGGCTGCGGCTCACTGTTAAAGACTTAAAATAAGATCCTTCAGAATGCTTTCACATGAACATACACAGCATTCCCATACTTTCAGCTTTTCACCCTTTTCTGTGGGACATGAGGAGAGTAACTTCTCTGAGCATTTAGTGTCTCATCTGCAAAATGGCATAATTAATAAAAAAGTGGCCATCACACTGGCTTCCTGAAATTCAGTTATGCATTGATAAAGTATGAAATCCAAATGGATATCCTTATTTTTTGGGTGGGGGGAGGGCAGAATCACAGGCAAAGGAACACAGAGATATTCCTTATTAAGTCTGGCATCATTAAAATGATAGAATGAGGGCTGGGGTTGTAGTACTGTGGTGGAGCGCTTGCCTAGCCTGTATGAGGCACTGGGTTCAATCCTCAGCACCACCTAAAAATAATGGTCCATCAAAAACTAAAAAATGTTTTAAAAAAGGGTAGAATGAATAAAAACTATGTGGGATTTTCCTGTATAAAATTTAGTTATAACTAATGACTGTCTAAAATATGATCCATAAACAAATAGGTTTGTTCTCTCTTTTCAGTATCCAAGTAACCTCATTGATTTAAATACTTTAGTCCATAGAGGTCTGACCTAGAATTGTGTGGTCCTAACATAACTGAGCATTTAGTTCTATGTTACTGGTAAGGGTTAACTTTAAATAGATTGCAGGTTATAGAGTTTGTTCTAATCATCTACAAAAATGTAGACATTTTTCTTCCTATGTTGCTGGATTCAAACAAATTTGTCCTTGAAATGTGGTATAAATATCCTGGGTCAAAAGGCTTTGTTAATTATTGAAGACAAAAAAATGGCCTCAAGGGGTTCACAAACAAATGCCCCATAATGCAAAGCACTTTGTGAAGTTTATGCCATTTTCATCAGGAATATAATGTATGTGCATAGTTAGTGTGATTCTATTGAAAACTGAATTCCACTGCAAAACTGTGTTAAAACTTCTTGCATTAACTTTTCTCCAGCTATGTGAAAGTCCAGCAACACTGTCTTCATGAGTGTGTGGCCGTCACACAGAAACTTAAAGTTTGAAGGCCCTCAAATTCCGTTTAGTTCTGTTGCCACCATCTTGAAGTGCTATTTAAGTTTTTAACAAGTGGCTTTGCATTTGGCAATTAGCTCTGAAAATTATACCACTAATTCTGAAGTACAATATAAGCTTTACTGGAAAAAAAAAGTCTTAAAGGTAATTTTATAGATAAATCAAAGGAGATTTTTTTTAAGTTTCTGTTATTTAAAAAGCAGTAGTTAAACTCATACTTACCCCAAGTCCACCACAAGGTAAGGAGGAAAAAAACTTTTGAGAGTCATCACCTATATGGTAAGAAAACATAAAAAAAAATATACATTGTGAGTATTATTATTTATGTGGATTAACATATAAATTGTGTCACATAGTATTTATCATTGTACTCATAAGAAAAATCAACGAAATTTTGGACCAATTATTCAAAGAAGTTCATTTTAAGAATGCATTGTTCTGTTTATATAAATACATAAGTAAAAACTCAAAGCAAATGAATATTAATACTATTATATATAAAGATCTATTACCCCACAGGATCAAACACAAGCCCATGAAATTTGGGATAAAAGATTTTTTAATTGGTTTACTTATCCATATTGTATATTATAATTTTAAAATTATAATTTATTAAATTATAATTTATGAAAACTCACACAGCTATTGACTAAGTGCATTCCTCCAAGATGATACTTGATCCACAAGTTTTATGAAACTATATACTGTCATTTTAAAAATATTTGAGACACTAAGATGTCTTCTCAAGTACACACTTATTCATCATTTCTATTTCAGAAACAGTTAATATACAGGATCTACTTAAGATGTAGCTAAGGTCAAGTATACCCATAAGCCTTTCTAACATGAACAGGTTTTTAAACAAAACACTATATAAAGAAAAATTTCATTTGGGAAATTATAATATCAGTATCATTATAAAAAGTCTCCTTTAAAAATATATGCCAAAATCTTTAATTATGATTCTTTTTTTGGAACTGGCATTTCATGGGACTTTAAGCAAGTATTTCATTTATCTACACTTTAATTTTCTGTACTTATCTACTTCATGAATAGACAGACAAACAGTAAGTGTTCCCAAATTTCTGGCACTAAAATCTGTCTATTCATTAACTAAAAAGAAAGATAGAACATTTCTATCTAAGATCTTAGTCAAATGGTTCTAAAGTGACTTAGATGGGTTATTCAGAAGACCAGTGGTAGAAGCAGGTGACAAACTCTTTAATTCACCTACCCCTTTATTTGTCCTGATAATGATCAATTACATAAATAATTAAAATGGAAAACAGGTTTGTGGTATAATTTACATGCCATGTTAGTAAAATTCTAATAGTAGATTGTACTGTCATCAAAGAAAGTTTATTTTAAAAACAATGAGTTGCATAAGTTTATTTTTCAAATGCAATTACTAACAGATGGAAAACAATAAAGGAAAATGTATGCATAGATGAGGACATGTCGTTATGTAAAGACATCTTTTTCTTAAAAAAAAAAAAAAGGATACAGTTCAGTGGTGGAGTGCTTTCCTGTGTGCTAGGTTCAATCCTCAGTACTACAAAAACAAAAGAAAACAAAACAAACAGAAAATGGCAAACACACACACACACACACACACACACACACACACACACCCTAAGGCAAAATGTTAAAATTAGAATGCTGGCACAAGTAAAAGACACTTCAAAAAAATTCTGGATGACATGAAAGGTGAAGTTTTTTATGTCATTGCTCTTAACAAAGGTATCTCTATATCTTTGAATATTTTGCAAGACTGAATCTATATATTGCCAGTAAATTAAAATATATATACATACACACACGCACACACATATACACACACACACACACACACACACACACACATATATATATATATATATATATATACATACATACACATATAGATAGATGGATATCTGAATTCTTCATTTACAGTTAAAAGGGATAAAGATAATATTAAAACATAATAAAATAAATTTTAAAAAACTTATTAAACCCTAAGAGAATAGAGAAAATAAATGCTATGCCTCTTATGAAGAATATTATGTAGTAATGTTTATATAACATAAAAGGCAAATAATTGATAATGTGAATTTAGCAGTGTGTAAAAAATTTAATTCACTGCATTGACTGAATTTATTTTTTTAATGACATTACAGTACCTCGTTAATGGACTAAAGTCTGGCTAGCTACAAGGTAGAAACTGGTAATAACAATGACAGGAATATTAATGTTAAGGAAAACCTTGGACCAGAAATGACTAGAGAGAATGTTTTCAAAGTGTCACCTTACAGAATCTTAAGTATTTAAAGAGATAAATTGTGCCTGTTTTCAAATCTAATTATTTTATAATCTATAGATGTCTTTCAAGATACAAAGACTAATAGTTCTGATCCTAGTGAACTTTCAGTTAAATCCTTCCTCCTAACCTAGAACATAACTTTCAAGAGCAGTATTATCAATTTAACACAGAAATGCCACCTCCCATCTGTGTTGGAGGGACTGGGCAAGATAGCTGTATAGTAGTGAAAGAAAAGGATAAAGAGAGCAAATTACTTGATTATTAATTTCTATACATTTGTATATGACAGCTTCAATGTGGTCTTTTAGTTATAAATGAAAAAACAAACTATAAAAATCCAAATGTCACAAAGAACAAAAAAGTAATCTTTTAAGAGAAATAAATAATTCACTTTGAATAACAACAGAAGAATATCAGATAAATTTCTGAATTCACCATAATAAATGAAATAGTTTGGATATGTCCAAGTTGAACTTTGCACTTGACCTCAGGCCTCACAGAAGGCACCATCCTTGTGTGTGTGGATTCAGGTAGTCTACATTGAAAGTGCTGCTCTGATCACTGAGAGGTATCTCTCAAACTCCACAGGTGTACAGAATGTTGCCCCAATCACCAATTGTATGAATGCTATTTCCCATTAAATATTCAAACCCAATGAGATAAAAGGCTAATTATCTGTCCTAAAAATTTAAAAACTGAATCATCAAAACTAAGTGCTTGCACCACATACATACAATGAAAAGAAGCTTTGTCCAAGTTCCAAGTTGGAATTCATTTTTGAATCAACCAAATTTAAAGTAATAGAAAGTTTGAATATTTTGAAAAAGTTAGATTTGTTCAAAATTGTCAAATTCCTTTTCTAAAAGCAGTGGTACTGTTGTATTTCATAAATAAAAGTTTGATGTTGTCAAAGTGTAAATTTCATTTCTTTTAACAAATATGTCTTCCTTCTTAAATTGTGGCATTTTGATATTAACAATTTGACCAATCATATTCCAGTCCAGTAAAGTCCAGGAGTACCTAGTCTTATGACTGAGTTGGTGGATACTTTGGGACCATAGTTAAAAAAAAAAAAGAAAGAAATGAAAAGAGCGAAAGAAAAACGTTTTCTATTTTCTCTTAACTAAATTAAAAAGTAATCACATAGACACTTTCCTATTTTAAATGCTTGAGTATTTTGATCAAATAAAACCATGAAAATCACTGCATCTTTGTGCTTAGTTGGGTAGGATTATTAATTCATGTTAAAATAAGAACATTTATTATACAGCAGTCAGAAAAAAAAAGAAATACTTTATGTAACATATCTGCATGTAGAGAACTGGTTCCTTTGAAGGAACCAAGGGAAAAAGTCTGGAGCATAGATGTTTAGATCAATTTATTTGTATTTGTATTAAAGCATAACTTTAATTTTACCATATAAATTGTTTTTCATCAAAGGTTAGCAATATTTTCTCTAAACAACACTGAGTGTCCTTTGTGTCCATTTCTCTTCCAGGTACTTCTGTTGCCTATCCTGACACACATACAAACACACACACACACACACACAAACACACACACACATGTGCAGACACTCCCCAAGTACTTCGCCACACATCTTTAGGGATATTTGCTGTTCATCTTTAAAAGCAGTTTGCATGTGTTTTAAAGGGTAATTGTTAACTTCCCCTTATAATTGCTTTCCAAAATACTTACCTATTACTTGTCATATATTAGTTCCCAATCATTTAGGGCCAATTAACATAAATTATTTAAAATTATTATTGAAAAGAGTTATTGAAAGAGTTCAATAATTTGGAACTGACTCAACAAGTTTGTTTGAAAGAAAGGGACAAGAAAGGGTTCTAAAATAGGTTTTAATTAAAACTCTTAAAATATTAGCCACGTTATGTACTGTTGTTATTCAATTATAAAGGTAATTAATAAAATATAATTACTTCTACTAAAATAATGTTTTGTCAGTATTTTTCCAAAAATCTGTTGTTTATAGCATTCATATAAAGCTTACATAAAACTCTGCAACTTCAATTTTATTTTAAAATCTGATGATGAAATTTTGAAAAATCGTACATTGACAAAAATTATGTTTATTGATTTTCTATTTGTCATTTACTGTGTTATTTAATACCCACAGGGAAGGTGTGCACTAAAAAGTTTACGTTGCTATTTTAAATTCCATCTTACTATAAAATGTAGTATCTTAGGCACAATAATAGGACTTGTCTCTGATATTAAGTTGTACTATCATTTTGTGTGTTAAGGTCATGGGAAAAAAGCCTGTAAGACACAAAACAAATGGGAAAGGTAAAGATGAATTTGCACAAAAGGGTGAAAAGGTCTTATTGTCTTTTAGTTCAAAAACCCAAGTAAACAAATTTGGCAATGTATATATCCCTATATGCAAAACTACACTACACATCTGCTATCCAAAGAAAGGTTAATTTTAAAGTCAACATTATAGAACACACATTGTCTTTTGTAGTGCAGGATTTTCTTAATCTACTTTGAATTCTCTTGTACAAGACTCATTCCACAGAGCAGTGCTGTTGGAAAAACTGACTTTTTGTCACACTGCTTGCCAAGTATTTTGGACTGACACTTGTACTGACTAATGATAGTTCTGGAATGTGCTGTTCTCAGTCAAATGGAGCCCATACAGACCTAGGAGTATCCTGGGGTCCAGCTTCTGTCCATCCAGGGGGCCGGTGCCATACAACAGTGAGTGATGTTCAGAATGAACAAGCTGTATTTCCTCCAAGCTGGCTTTTCGACCTTGAATCCTCTGAAAGAAAATAGCAGAAACCTACAGTACCTCTCTGACAACATTTAGAAGAAAATGAGACCCCCAAGTCACATTTAAGATGATTAATAATGGGCTGAGTTTCATCAGGCAGGAATGTGAGACTGATCTGCTTGGTAAAATACTCTAATACTACTTGAAAAATGAGCATATGCAAGGTTGAGATGCGATGGATTGCTTATGCCCATGTAGGAAATTGACATAAAGCTTATTCTTCTTTGGCATAAAAAATAAATCTATAACAAAGAAATTAATGGTTGTCTCTTTTGTAAAAAATATGAGCTTAAAAACACCAAGGGCTAATGTTTATCTGAAAAACAAATTTATTACCATCTTATTTTATACTTACCTGAAGTTGTTGAAATGAATTTTTCTTAAAGGACATGGGTAAATACCATGGTAGTGTAATGTATTTTATGCTCATTACTTCATGTGAATGCACCTTACCACAGCATTACTCTGTGTAATGCTGTTACAATGTTACTCAAAGCTTGTCCCATGGGACCCGCAACAGTTGAGGATCTGCCTGTCAATGGCCCATGATGAGATCAGTACAGAAATTCAGAGTAAATATTTAGAAACTTGTATGGCAAATTTATGTCTTTTGAATTTAATAAAATCTCATATGACTTAAATTTTTATTTCACTTTTGCACCATTTCACTTTTAGTGTGTTTTATTAAAGTTTTAGTATATGACAGATTGGAAATTAAACGGAAACAAAAACTGCTGTTTAACCAGAGATAATTTGAGACATTCTAGACTCAATTCTTTACACTTAGGCTAGGCAGAGAGTTTTTGCCCCATCTAACAAAGAAAGGTTCTTTGACACAAACATAATTGTACTTTAAGTTAAACCTTATTAGCCAACATACAAAGTGATCTTCTTGGTCCCATTTCTTACCACATCTGTGAGCCTGATAAACATCATGCTGGTGTATGAAATTAATTAACCTTCACTTTCGGAAATGCCTATGCTTCCTAAAACTACATAAACAATATGAAGTTTTTCTTAAAACACACACCATCACAAGACAGGTCAGGTAATACTTAAGTACAGAACTCAAGAGAAATTCAGAGAGTCTGTTCAGGAAGTGCTGACCTCCCATGTTCCTGGAACCACCAGTTGACTTGGAAACATCCGGCGACAACCACACCTCTCTTGGGACCAGGACAACTCCGTGATCAGTCTCCCTTGTGTAAGGTGATGGGGCTGCTGGCAGACTCTTCAGTGTTTATGTGTAGGTTACTAGGGGTCAGGCTGGGAAAATCTCTAGGTAATGACACTTCCTCAGGGTTTATTGGACAGGAGGCAGAGTTTGCTTGTCACTGAAAATAAATGATCAGGTCACAGTGAGGGAGGAATGGTGGGAACTACAGGGGTAACAGAGGAGCATGATTTAAAGCAGAATCTCAAGATTGCCTTTATGTGCCAAACCAACAAATACCTGTGGAATTTTCTTTGCCATTACACTGAAGTTCCCTGTTCTCGACACTATCATTCAGCATTGTGTAACCCAATTTACATTTCTAGAAAAATGAAATATGCTTTTGAGAAATCATTTCCAGGTAGTTAAGAAAACAATCCCAATACTGAAGACTAAGGCAAATTTAATGATGACATTCAGGTCTGCCTTGTTCTGATCAATAAACAATTGTATTGAACAGGGTAATTTGCCGGTAAACATGAAATATGCAAAGGTATATGGAAGACAAACAAAAACCAAAGAAGTAGAATGACAGGTAAAGAGATAAAATGAGCAAGAGAAAAGCGAGAATCAATATTAAAGGGAAATATTTTAACTTCAAGATTTCAGAAGATGGAAAATCCCCAAAGATAAATGGTAGTAACTCCATGGTTTGAGTCATCTAAAATTGGAATGAACAGAGTGCTGAAAAACAGACAGTGACAATCAGTCCTAGTCTGGCATAATAATGAATACCATGAAATAACAGAGCTTCCAAGCTTTCACTTCTATGGGTCTATGAAATCCATAGCCACAGATATCATAAAAGCTGATACTGTGAGACATCAAAATCCTAAATAATGTCAATTCTAAAACTAAGAATTGGAGCCATGTTTGACTACTGGAATATCATAAAACTTCATCATTTTTTTCCCTCTCTCCTTTTCTATTAAGATTTTTTTTTCAGTTCCCAGTTGAATTTTTTGGCTCTAACATTAAATATCACTATTATTATGTTTTCATACACTAGTCATATATATTATACACTGTACACTCAATGCATGTCCCAAGTTCATTTCTTATTCTCCTACAATCCCAGTAGCATTCCAACTAAATGTTCAACCACACATTTGAACAATAATCTGCTAATAAGATTCACCGTAGATGACGATAGCTCAAGTGCTAGCAAATCATGAGGATGCCTGCCGAATCTTTCATCTCCCAGTGTAGCAGCAATCAACTGGCAGTATGGACACAGCATCTGGATAAGTTACCTAGCATTTACTTATTCAAGAGTTTTGCTTCTGATTTATACTCTAGTTCTTACCTCACTATTAAAATGTAAAACTGCTCGTACATTATCCCTTTGATTCTTTTTCCCTCTTCTCCTTCCATTTCCTTTGACTCTCTGAAAGTACATTACACTGGCAGATTGTGTTATTATAATAAATAGTTCTTAGAAATTACTGCAATCAAAATAAGGATGTAATCATTCTTGACAATCACCTTCTGCTTCTCTAGCTGCTAGGGAACAAACCCCATAAACACAGTGCCTGTTTCCCCCCAAAGCAAGGAAAACCAATTCAGCCTGAAAACAATCTCTACCTAAAGAAAGGATCTGGAGAAAGCACATTCTAGATTTGTATCTTGCAGAAACACTACTATGGGAACTTGGATGACTAAGCCAAGAATCCTGAAATAGCAACCGCTTGCTTTAGTTCTTAACACACAGGGTCTCCTGGAGTAGTTCCATTTTGCCTCCCTTTTATCAGATGCCTTAAATTTGTCACATTCAGCTCTCTTCTCCTATTGAGATCTCCAACAGTCCCATTTTTTAATTTAGAATTTCATTTGCTCAGGCTTAATATAGATATTCTCATTTTGTCTCTTCCCGAATGTTCTACTTCCTGTGTACCCTGTATTCCTCCATTTCTCTCTTAAGATGCTCTCTAGAGTCAAAGGTCAATAGCATAATGACTAACAAAATAGGATAAAGTGCTCTGATAATCTTAATTTAGGGAGATGCTGGTTTCCGTTCTCAGAGAAAAATCAGTCTGCAGGATGTCTATGTGAAGTCATCTATGATGCTCTGACTAAAAAGGCTTTTGAGCATATTGGAACACTCGATGCATATAAGGGATGGAGTTTATCTGGAGAGTTCTCACATGAAATCCAAAGATAGGTCTTGAATTCTTTAATAGGCCTAGGAACAGAAGCTTCCAGCTCTTCTTTCAGCTTAAAGAAATGCTGTGATTTAGGACTGCTTTCATTCTGACATTATTATTCTGTGACTTACATTCAATCCGGGTCTTTCCTGGGAGTGGAAAAGTAGCCAGGACTCAGCCTACTCTGTGCTTAGGAATATGATCATATTCAATACAGACCCCCAGACAGCCTCTATTCAGGTTGGAAGTTTGACTAAAGATGTCATTTGAAATCACCATATCATTGAGTCTCACAATGTACTATGGTTCTTTCCTAAAGAAATAGTCTTTCTGAAATAAAGCCTGTTAATGCAAACTGATTATAGAAGGAATGTTCTGAACATGATCTACAAAGTCATACTGTGACAGGATAAAACGCAGCCTACCCACACCCACCCACACACAGAGCACACACACGGTATAGATTCATATTTTTTTCTGCCAAGGAGCAGAGAAAAAAGGAAACAGTTCTATTCCTTCCCTGCTTGTGTTCAAAGCCTGGAGTGAGGCCAGTGTCCTAATCAGTTCTCATTGGCCCTGGAGGAATCAGAACCTTTTGTAAAATATAATAAAGGGCATAAAATCATGATAAAATGCATGAAAAAGCAGTGCCTTTGGTTAGGGAACTAGAAATAATTTAGCAGAACAGATGGATTGCATTGGTTGGGTATTATTGAGGACATGAAAGGGCTCATTTTGTGGCAGTTCCAAACTAAGAGAAAATGTCCAACTTAAATTTGACAAGTCAAAGTACCTGCCTCCACTGGAGGAGACTCCATTTTCTTTAATCATTTTCAAAGTAGTGACATATTAGGCAAAAATGTCTACTGAAATACCTCATTTTCCGAAAATATTTCATCCATTGTCTCTAAGTAAAGGAAGATTATTATTTTTTCCTCCAAAAATCTACAGTGCTGCCAATATTCAATTAAAAAACATAAATGAGTTATGTCAAAGTTAGATTCAGTTTTTGAATACCATATTTAATACTTAAGGAGTCAATTCGTGGTTCATTAATTATTCTTGATATATTTTTTCTCTTAAAACAAACACAAAAATGTGGTCTCATTGTTCGTGTCCAAGCATATCTCCTTGAATTTTCAAATGATAACAATCAATTGTTTCTTTGAATATTTTATAAGTCGTTTTTTTCTAATAGCCACCCCCTAACACAGAGCTGTACAATCTTTTCTCATAGCCCTCATCATATAGTAACCTGTTATCAGAATTTTTTCTCATAAAGTAGAGTAAAGGGAGGCAGGCAGTAATAGAACAGGCAGGCAGCCTACCAGACTTCTCCCTTCTGTAGGGCACATGGAAGAAAAGTAGACTGCAAGCTGAGAGCCAGAATTCTTATCCTGCTTCTTGAATGTTTTCCCTGTGCCTACAGCCAGCTGTGAAACATCTCTACAGGCCTTAGTTTCTTCATCTATAAGCATAAGGAAGTTTGCCTAAGTTTTTTCAAAGCTTCATTTTAGTCCTAACTGATAAGATTCTATGTGGCAAAATAACTTTATACTCGGTAAAAAATTCAAGAAAATATGCTTTACTTTGATTGATGAATTTGCCTGAGGCAAGCAAATACAATTATA